GTTTAGAATTCATCATATGAGTAAAGAAATTAAATGTAGTTAAACTTCGGCGTATTTCTCAGCGATAGCAACTGATTTATTCACATTTTATAATAAAAAGATGAGATAAGATGTGTTGCATTGAAACTCCTCATGACCCTCTAATAGTGGAACGATTAGATGCTAATACAGAGACAAGCGAAAATAACTTAAAAGACGAAACAAATCAAGTACGATTGGCTGAACGAAGTTGTCGTCCGGGACTCTTGTGAGACACTTGCTCAACATCGTTGAATAATACGGCGGTTCCTCCACCCGCAGTTGGTATACATTCACCCTAAACATTTCGAACTTTACAATGAGGCACACAAACATTTTAAACATGATATAGCGACATGGAACAATATAAGCCTCGTTGTTCATGAGATGCATTGGCAAATAGCAGCCAGGATTTTTGCAAACATATAGATTGGGACAGAGCATACAAGCATTACTGCCAACTTTCTTTCATGCGGAAGTGCAATTGTTGAGATGTAAGCACGCGGTATATATGCGAGACCAACAGTATAATGCAAATTCAAAAAGCTGCTCACCTTCTTCTGAACAAACTACAAATAAGCACATAAACATTTTAACGGAACAAAATAGCCATTAAACAATCAGAGGCGAACATCTGGAACTTCAGTTTCGGAGCTAGTTGACGTATTCTCTCCGACTGAGTTGGCCGATGTTTCAGGTGACTTCATAGATTGCAAATGCACACGAATTCTCTTCTAAAAGGTGGTATATGGGCATGCAGTGCTGAGCGTGATGCGGACAAATAAAAGTGCTTTTTCAGTGTAAGTTCAACAGCACAATGACATAATGCGCATAAATTTACTAAATGATATATTCCCTAAGAACAGCATAATAAACAAGGTGTCTTAGAAAGAACCTTAATGAGGCTAGTGTTGATGTTGCCCTCCTCATCGACTTCTTGATGTGTTAGAACATAATCGCTGGATTTCTGCAACTGATGTGCCTAAATGAGAAAGATGAAGACTTTGTTCAAAAAATACTTTGTTTAAAAAAAACCATCAACCACTGTATTACGGAACTAGTGATAAGGAACCACTAGATCGAGTTGATGTAATAAGCACCACTGTGACAATGCGTGGCAAGGGGTCACCACGAAATCGAGAATTAACAACCAAAAAGAACTTACTTCCGGCCTAGTAACGTGTTTTGTGTTTTGAGGCATTTTGACTCGCAAAATACCACCAGTTGGGATTCTATGGGCGGGCTGATGATCAAGAACTCTTGGAGCAGATTTGGATCTATAAATTGTTTTTCCAGAATTTATACATCAATGAATGAACATAGTACAAACCTTCTATGATACTTAGGATTGAAATATCCTGGACCACCAGGGGTTCGAGGTTCCTGCTGTGCTCGTCGAGATTCCCTTGATGTGCTTGGAGTTGCTACTACCTTCCGCTACAATATTCAATAGTTTCTAATGTTGAGTTTCAGAGTGAACAACATTTTTTTAGCGAATGAAACACAATTTAAACCTTCTGCATAGGTGTGGGCGCTGCAGAGTGTGCATCACCACCCCCAGTCGAAAACTTGTTCCGAAGCTGAGCAAATGATGGAGAAGGAGCGTCACAGATGTCTTGGATCTTGGTAAATGCAATTAAGTATTGAAAACAGGATATGAAGATTAAGTAAACGCAAAACTAACCACTTTCAACTTCTGATCTTGTTTTCTCGCCCTTGATCGTTCTTCTTTCATACTTCGTCGCAAATGCTCTTCCGCCGAAAGGAGTTCTTCATCCTGAGCCTCGTATCGAGATAACCGTTCACGAAGAGACATAAGTTCTCTCTAGAAATCAAATATTGTCTTATCTTTACAATAGTAAAACATTGTGAACTCCATTAGCAGACAAAGATTTTTGCAAGTGCCACTAATTCCATCTTGCAATGCCTGCATTCTTAGCGAGTATCATAAAGTACATAAATGAGCTCCTTAAAATTACGCATAAAAGAGAATAGAGGCACTATCAAGCAGAATAAGAGGAACAAAGATATATTTACCTTCAACTTCTTATTTTCAGCACAGTATGCGGCTATCTGTTCAGCATCCTGTTCACTACGAGCCCGAAGTTCCTCCACTTCTATCTTGGCGTAATCAGCGATACACAGAGCATTTCTCAAAGGGATTTCGACATCACGAACTAAAATGGATGAACTGCTCAAAGAAAACAGAGTTCTTCTCACTTATCAAATCTATATATCCTCAATCCTTACCTTGAGATTCCAGATTATGATTATCTCGGTTAGATATGTTAGCTAGGGCAAGACATCGCTCTTTCAACTTTGCAATAGAAGCAGCATCATCAGCATCCTAATAATGTGTTAACATTTCTTTGTGTAATAAGTCAGCTACCCTTAAAATTAATTGTGACGACTGACTTTTATGGTAAAGTCGAAGGATAGTAAAGAGTTCGGCTTTAGTGATAATGATGATGCCATAGCTTGATCAATCTCATAATTCCATCGAGAGTAGAATCGACGGGGAACTGGGGGTCTTGATCCACTATCTGTTTCTAGCCGATCCTCGGCCCGGGTGATACATACAGTTTGAGACTCTTCGGCAAAAGCTAGTACATTCTAAAACCAGTAAACATATAGTCGCGACTCAATATGATACAAAGAACAGCAATGATGACCTATAAGCTGCGCGAGAACTCACCAAATTCTCTTCAAAATCTGATGGCTTTGGATTTGCGCAAATTATCATGCGGATCTTTCCGGAACCTTCAAAAAAGTTCTTGAATAGCATAGTGAGCTTTGCGTCTCGATATGGAACTGACTCGGAAGTACCAGAACGTTGATTACGTCTGTAAAGTAATGGGTATAGATGAGAGCGCAACACTCCTGCCACTTATTAGGGTACCTTAGCTTGTCAATGCACTGGCGCAGCACCATCAAACTCTTGTTGATAGATGCAGCTTCAGCTAGGCGATCGCCAACATTGTTAGTCCTTTTTGTTCTAAAAATATTAAAAACATAAATTTAGTTAGAAAACAAACACGATTTTACCTTTCGCTCCCAGCTAGATCTACAAGAGAAAGCTGCGAGACAACAATGCCATTCGGGTCACTA